TGCCATTAAAGAAGTGCCCAATGAAAAACATGAACTACAGTATTGGGAAAGAAGGGGTGAACCCCAGTATAACCCTGAAGATGTTAAGATTAGCCCTACTCTAACCCCAGAGCGACAAGATGAAGCAAGAGACTTGCTGCAGAAATACAAGCAAGTCTTCTCAAATAAGCCTGGTGTAACAAAGGGGGTAGTACATAAAACAGATACAGGAGATGCACCTCCTCAAGCTGTCACACCTTATAGAGTAACGGGGCGATATGTAGCCAAGGTTCACAAGGAGCTAGATGAAATGCTGAAAGAAAAAATAATTGTTCCTTTTTCTAGTCCTTGGGCAGCCCCAATAGTTCTAGTTGATAAGCCAGATGGAAGTGTCCGCTTTTGCGTGGACTATCGAAAACTGAATCACATCACTAAGTCAGATGTTTACCCGATGCCTCGGTAAGATGACTTGATAGAAACTATAGGGGGATGTAGATTCATATCAAGTTTTGACCTGACTAAGGGGTTCTGGGAAGTGGGTCTATACCCCAAAGATCAGGAAAAGATAGCTTTTTGTAGCCCCTTTGGTTTGTTTGAATTCTGGGTCTTAAGTTTCGGATTGTGACACACTCCAGCAACCTTAGGAGTAGTCAGCTATTCTCGCTGCTTTGTACCCAATTTTAGCGCGATAGCCACTCCTTTATCTGATTTAACACACGAAAGAAAGGCTGCGAAGATCCAATGGAGAGTCAGCTGCGAGGAGGCCTTTAGCAAGTTGAAGATGGCATTGACTACCGGTCCTGTCCTGAGAGCCCCAGACTTCCAGAGAGAGTTCACAGTCTTCACGGATGCATCTGCCATCGGGCAGGGAGCCATGCTGAGCCAGGTAGACGACGGAAACCATCATCCTGTAATCTGTCTCAGTAAGAAACTCCAGGCGGGCGAGAGGCATTTGTCCACGATTGAACAGGAGTGTCTAGCCATCGTATGGTCATTGCAGAAACTCAAGCCATACATATGGGGAAGACATTTTGTACTTTGCATCGATCATTCCCCACTTCTGTGGCTGAGAACTATAAGGGTGAATAACATCCAAGGCTATGGCTACATAAATAGCTATTAGGAGGCACACCTGGCTTAGATTGTCCAACATCATGGATGACACCAAGGCAAGAATTGAGGACATGCTTTTTGATGCCAATGGTATATTTAACATTAAAAACGGATGAGATGATGGAGAACATCCATAAACTCAGAAAAGCAGCAAAATCCTACACACCACAACAGCTGTATAGATACCAAAGGTCTTCATACTGCAAACCTTATCATCAACCGACATACCAATACCAGCACTCCTTTCACCCATACAGGCAACAACATCATGATAGACAATACATGTCAACCTCTACCTCAATACCACAATTTAGACATCAACAATCTCAAGACAACCCTTTTGAAAGTACAAGGCAACCCTTTTGAAAGCAACAGAGAAAGGGTAAGCAATATTCATAACTCTTCACAAACATCTTTTCAAACAAGATTACATGACTTTTAACCAGCTTGGAAAGAAATAACAAATGACAAATGAGTCTTATCTATAATTCAATTTGGATATTACACTGAATTTTTCAAAACACCACAGTTTAATACAATCAAAAACAACAAATTCTCCTTAACTCTCCAAGAAGAGGTAACGTGCTTCTTCAAAAACAAGCTATAGTTATAATCACATCTTGTACAATTAATAAAGGTTTCTACTCCCGATATTTTACGATCCCAAAAAAAGAATGGAGGACTTTGCCCTATCCTTGATTTAAGAAAGCTTAACAAATTTATCAAACCAAGAAAATTCCTCATGCTAACTCTTGGTACCATTATCCCCCTTCTCTCACAGGAAGACTGGTTCGTGGTCATTGACTTACAGGATGAATACTTCCACATATCGATATATCCCAACCATCAAAGGTTCCTCAGGTTCAAATTCAACAAAATAATATACCAATTCTGTGCCCTACCATTCGGACTATCCACAGCCCAAGGACATTTACAAAATGCATGGCACCAATTGCAGCTTACCTAAGACTTTGAGGGATCACCATCTTCCCATACATCAACCATTGGCTAATAGTAATTCGATCATACCAAGATGCAATAAAGGCCACAAAGTTAACACTAGATACCTTACAAAGACTAGGACTCAAAGTGAACTACAACAAATCTCATCTGGAGCCATCACAGACTGCCAGCTACATAGGCGCAGACCTTGATTCCAAGAAGGCAAGAGCATTCCTACCTCTACAGAGAATTATCAAAATAAAGAAAGCAATCCAACCATTCCAACCTCATGCAATGGTATTAGCACACAAAGCCCAACATCTGCTCAGCTTCATGGCATCCACGACGGCAGTAATTACCCATGCAAGATTAAAAATGAGATCACTACAAGCATGGTTGCTATACCTGTTCAACCCTATGATAGACAATCAATCAAAGCTCTTAAAATTGACTCCAGAACTAGCATAACAACTTACCTGGTGGGCATTCCTTCCACATCTCACAATCAGCAGACCCTTCAAAATGACAAAAATATCAGTCCAAGTCACCACGCATGTCAGCCCCTTCGGACGGGGAGCGCACTGCCAAGGACTACAAATACATGGCCTGTGGACAAGAAATAAATTCATTACACATAAACCATCTAGAAATACTGGCAGCAGCAAAAGCATTTTGATCCTTTCTATTACACATAGAAGTAAAAGCTGTACAAGTAGTCACGGACAACACAACTGGCATGTACTACATAAACAAACAGGGAGGAACTCATTCACTCTCCCTATTATATCTTACAGTGGACCTGTGGGAATGGTGTTATCTCCATCACATATTCCCAGTGGCCATTCACATCTCAACAGAAGAGAACTATGTAGCAGATCACCTGAGCAGGCTACCAACAAGGACCCACGAATCAAGTCTTCCAAATGATCTGCTGTCAGTGGGGTCAGCCATCAATAGATCTCTTTGCAACACGGCACAATGCAAAATGCCCCAAATATTGTTCAAGAGCCAGCAGCGATCCCAAATTCCTTGGAGACGCCTTCATGATAGACTGGACTCAGGAAATGCTCTACATCTTTCCTCCGATAACGATTATCCAAAAAACAGTAATACGGATTATTCAGTGCCAAGCGAACGCCATAGTCATCGCCCCATGGTGGCCACACCAACCCTGGTTCACCCACCTCAATTCCTTGGCAATAGACATATTACAACTACAGTGGGCCCTCAACTTACAAACTTAATCCGTTCCGGAAGTCCATTTGTAAGCTGAAACATTCGTACGTCGAAATTTCCCCATAGGAATGCATTGGAAATTAATGCGTTCGTATGGGGGGAAAAAAGGTCAGAAACTTAAAAATAAATAAAAGAAAGCCACTTACCAGGCCTTGGTAGCCCCCGAACTGCAGGAAAAACAGCACCAAACAGCTAAAAGCTGGGAGCCTGGGAGCCATTTTGTGCTCTTCTCTGCTCCTGCCCCCTCCTTTCCCCGCCTAACAGCTGATTGGCAGGCTCTTAAGAGGCTTCTGGAGGCTTGCTCAGCACCTAAAAAGGCAGGAGAATAAAGCTCCCCCACTTTCAGAAGCCTCCCAGTGGCAAGGGAAAAGCAGCAATTTTTTATTTCCAGCTTTATTCCTCTGCCTTTTCCTGCTTCTTGGGAGGAAAGCGATGACAAACCTAGACAGCATCGTAAAAAGCAGAGACATCACCTTGCCAACAAAGGTCTGCATAGTCAAAGTTATGGTTTTTGCTGATATACTGTGTCAGACTTTTCATGACCCCATGGACCACAGCACGCCAGGCCCTCCTGTCTTCCACTGCCTCCCGGCGTTTGGTCAAATTCATGTTGGTAGCTTCGATGACATTGTCCATCCATCTCATCCTTTGTCATCCCCTTCTCTTGCCTTCACACTTTCCCAACATCAGGGTCTTTTCCAGGGAGGCTTCTCTTCTCATGAGATGGCCAAAGTATTGGAGCCTCAGCTTCAGGATCTGTCCTTCCAGTGAGCACTCAGGGTTGATTTCCTTTAGAATTGATAGGGTTTTTTTCTCCTTGCAGTCCAGGGGACTCTCAAGAATCTCCTCCAGCACCACAATTCAAAAGCATCAACTCTTCAGCGGTCAGCCTTCTTTATGGTCCAGCTCTCACTTCCATACATCGCTACTGGAAAGACCATAGCTTTGACTATGCAGACCTTTGTCGGCAAGGTGATGTCTCTGCTTTTTAAAATGCTGTCTTCCTCCCAGGACACAGGAATCTTTTAATTTTGTGGCTGCTGTCCCCATCTGCAGTGATCATGGCGCCCAAGAAAGTAAAATCTGTCACTGCCTCCATATCTTCCCCTTCTATTTGTGCAAGGCAGCTACTTGAGCACAACTTTCCATTTTTATTAAACATTGTCTGGGCAAGAAAGGAACCCAGATTATTATTTTTTTCTTCAGTGTTGCAATGACACTCTTTCTGTAGTAAGCCAGCTTTCAGTCTCCCATCTGTGTGATCCATAGAAGCCATGAAGATAATCAACAGGTTGCTTACCTGCAAGTGGTTATCTGTAAATTTCTCTTCCCTCTTCCTATCATGGTTTGTGGGTGTTTGTTTTGTTTTGCTTTTTATTTCTGTTTTTAATCAGCGTTTAGCTGGGTGTTGAATAGGAACAGAGGGGGAACTATTAGGACATGTCTAGTTCTGTGCAGATAGCATGGAATTGGGTCCCTCCAAAGCAGCTACTCAGCTCTGGAACATTCCAACAACTGTACTGTGCAGGTGCATAAGCCATTTGTGTGAGTTCACAGCTAATCAGTGAACTACAATTACAAGTAAGCAACGTGCCTTTTCCAAATCAAAGTACTGCCAGCAATATTCAGAGGCAATATTTACATAAGACATACAGTATATATTTATATAGCTAAGACTGACTATCATGAGACAATCTGTTCTTTGTTTCCTTTTTTCTTGTCCATTTTAGGCAAGGACAACCAGTGTATTCCCTTCCTCCAGGTGGGTTCAGACACCCCTACCCTGCCTTGGCTATGAATGCTTCAATGTCCAGGTGGGTTCCAATGGGAGCCTGAGGCCTAGTTCTCACAGTGGTAGTAAACCTGTATCCGGCCTGTACCACAGCAGATTGTGGTACCAGGTGCATATGTGTGCCCTCATAGGAAAGTGGGGGAGGAAATGGACTTGTGCAGATGGAGAAGGCTAGACCCTTTTCACCTGACATCCAATTTTCTATGTGGGGGGTTGGCGTTGGTTTGTTTGGTTTTTTGTTTATTATTATTATTATTATTATTATTATTATTATTATTATTATTATTATTATTATTAAGTGGACGAGGATTTGGTCAATATACTAGTAGTACAGCCTGGATAAAGATTTACTATTTGTGCAGGAACTAAGGCCAAATAATACCAAACAAAGGATTCAGATTAGATTAGAATTGTTGTTGATATTACACATTAGAGAAAGCTTTCCTTGGCTCTTATTAAAAGTGACATATGTAATTATTGCAACACCTATTCTGAATTTTTAAGCTTTCCTTCTAAGGGAGAAAAATAATGATCTAGAAGATTGTTAATTGGTTGACATAATTACAGTAACAGTCTTCTTACCTTGCCTGTCTAAATGGCTGAGAAATAAGAGAAAACAATGCATTATAAGTATTTTTTATCAGATAGCTAAATCACGAGTGAATAAGTAGCAGATAAACTGTATCAGAACTGCATTCTAACCTGTGGATATCCTTCAGGTGTGGTTGCTTCCTTTTACAATCTAGATGAAGAGATAAATATAACTGCTGTATGGTAACAGATAATTTTGTTTAAGAAAACAGTAGTTTAGTAATAAAATAAGAACACTGTGTGAATAGGGGAGGAAGGACTTACTCCAGCTAAGCATGGAAGTAGTTAGCATTTCTTGTCCTTCATGTATCACAGGTTTGTATCCTGTGTTCCATGTTCGAAATTTGTACACCTTCAGTTTACTCCACTGAATGTCTTGTCTTTTACATTGTAGTCTCGTCTCATGTCAACAAAAGGACAGTACAGTGGTGCCTCGTTTGACGAAGTTCATTCGTTCCAGCGAAATCACTGTAGAGCGAAAATGTCATCAAATGAAATAAAAAACCCATTGAAACGCATTAAAAACAGTTAATGCGTTCCAATACATACCTAATCATCCAGCGAAGATCCTCCATACGGCAGCCATTTTCGGGTGCCTGTCTTGCAAAAAATGCCTCCTAAAAACAGTGGGGAGCCATTTTTAGCAGCCATCGGCCATTTTGAAAACCCAACGATCAGTTGTTTTGATCATCGTAATGTGAAGAATCGGTTCCCAAAGCAGGGAACCGATCGTCGCAAAGCGAAAAAGCCCAATTAAAACATCATTTTGCGATCGCAAAAACATTTTTGTGAAGCGGATTCGTCATTATGCAGGGTAATCATTAAGCGGGGCACGACTGTATAATGAACATGAAATAAAGCCCCAGAGAAAAGGAAACCAAAACACTTTTCACGTCATAGATTGTCTTGTAATGCTCATTGATAGTTTAATATTCAGTGACACGTTGGATAGTGCATATAATTGTAAATATGTCATCATTAAGTCAGCAAAGTCTGGAAAGGAAAATGAATAAATAGTTCTGCTTATGAACAGATATATATTTTTCATAACAGGTATTTTAAAATCTAAATCGCTGCAGCATGAAAGCAAAAATATGAAATATACAGTAGGAAAGAAATACTTCTTTTTCTTTGTAGCCCTATGTGGTTTCGTAGATTAAAAAGGTTTGTTTCCTTGGGATCTCTTCCATTGACCTTGGATCATCTGTTTCTCTGTTTTCTGAAGGCTTTGGTAAGGTGCCCTGAAAAATGAGGAAAAGAAACAGTTTTAACAAAAGATGTGAGAAAATAAGTGCGTGATGTGTACAGTCTAAAAGACATTTATTATAGGCATTTATTTTCAGCATCTCACTTATAATTGTACTCCAGCTTGATGTCTAGCAGGTTTTCTCCTCATATGGTTCCTCCTCCTGCTCATGGACTTCATCCCTCAGGAATCCCACACCCCACCATAGTGTCACCTATTGTCAAACAAGAGCCCACACAGCCCAGTCTGAGTCCTGAAGGGAGCTCGTAAGTATTAGGTTAGCCAGGTATTGCCTGGTTGCTTTGTTTTGTGGGTATATATAGTGGGGAGAAAGGTTGCAATCAGTGTAATAAACGTATTATTTCTCTCTCTCTCTCTCTCTCTCTCTCTGATACTCATGGGTATTGTTGCAAAGTAATCTTTTCGCTTTGGGTTTTTTAAAACATGGTATGACTTATGACTTTTCTCATAAGCCAATTAGAGCCCAGCTATGCCATGTCCCATAATATGTGCTGTAAAAGTTGCCCATCTGGAGTAAACTGGTATTTCTGACCTACATCGTGGATTGTTTTTTAAAAACCAACTCTTTTCTTTTCCTCTTTACATCATATACCAATACTGAAAACTTTTCCTACTAAGTAGCACAAAATGACACCAGCATAGGTTGTGTTAGCATATGCATATGCTGATATTGAACTAGATATTGCAGAAAATTGCATCCTTGTAGCATGTTGTATATGCATATGCACCCTCTCTGTTCCACCCAGCTGCTAAACTTAAAAGTATATTCATAGAACCATCATATGCATATAGCCATCATGCAATGCCACCATTTCTCATCCAGCCACCATCAGAGACATGGAACAAGAATTCTTCCTATTTGATAACTGCTTTTCATACAGTAAAAGCTTCTGGATGTTACAGCAGTAGGGTAGAGATCTGCTAAAGGATGCTATTTTCAGTGTCATCCTTGTATTAATGTATTATCTGACTTAGATATAATGTGAAATGGAAGATGACTGCAGTATTTATCTGGGGGAAAAATACTTGACAAGTTTTTTAACAGTGGTATTTTGTTAGAATAATTCTTCACTCTAGGCATCTTGTTTTCTGTTGCCTATACACTGTTGGTAGGAAAGAGCCTGTGGTTATGATCAGGACTATGGGACTATAATGAAAGATATGACTATTCCAGAAAAACACCTGTTATTGTCAAGAAGGAGGAGGAGAAGAAACCCCATATTAAAAAACCGCTGAATGCGTTCATGTTGTACATGAAGGAGATGCGGGCCAAAGTGGTGGCAGAATGTACGCTGAAGGAGAGTGCAGCTATCAACCAGATCCTAGGAAGAAGGGTACAAAACCAATCATTGGCTTTTCATCCCATTGTGATCACAAGCACTTAGGCTGCTAGGCTATGTGTAGAGTTGGTTCATAGCTACAGAAATATAGTGTTTTTGTAGCAGTAAAGTCTCTTAGCTTGCTGGTGTGTTTTTGCTGAGTTGAGGAACTGTTGTCCCAAAACACTTCAGCTGATCAGGTAGTAAAACAAACAAAATGTTTGAAGTTCGGCTTCTTTGTGTGAGAGAATCTGTCTGGGATTAAAAGTACACAAAATAGTACATTGAGTAGAATGTACACAGTGGTTCAAGTGTAGTTTTAAAGAATATACAGATTGTGAATGGTATTCTCCGTTGTGTGTGCCAGCAGTTAAAATAATATTCACATAATCTTGGTAAAACTTTAAGAATGCTGATTGTATAACATAAATGTAGAATAAACTAAAAATGCTTAAAAACATTTGTACTTGATATAGACTTGTGTGCTTGACAGACATAACAGTTTCTTAACATATTCTTTTCAGCTGTATTAACAGACGAGTGCAATTTGCTAACAAAACAAACAGAATTTTAAAGACAACATCTAACAGACTACACAGACTACTTCATTTTCCTTCTAACATATTAATAACTGTTGCTTCTTTTTCTATTTGTCTAGCAGTTAAGCTAACCCACTTAACACCTATTGGCTAACACCAGAGCAAATATGTTTGGTTACATAAATTTTATTATGTAAATTACACAATTCAAACATTCTTGTATACACATACATACAGTACATGCTGGGTTGTATACTTATATATTCCAATACTTTTATTCCAATACTTTGTAGAGTAAGATGGGATTGAGAAGAGTTCCCAGGAGTTAGGAAAAATAAAGAGCAGGAAATCTAAGACAAGTTGGCTTGAAAAAAGATTTGAAGCCATCAGTGACTGAGAGAGAAGAACATGAGGAGATACAGGGAGAGGAAAGACCTTGAGGAAAAGAAATGGCAGAGAAGACAGAGAACAGTTGCTAGTGGATCTAAAGAAACCTTGCAATACTGAAAGTTTGAGTACTGAGAGTGCATTGGACTGGGGAAAGTAGATGATGTGGTAGTTTAGAGCAGATAGAGGACTGATGAGAAGCCTGAAGAAAACCAGTGATGAAGACCAGAAAGACCAAAGAAAACAGAGGACTGATGCTACACAGGAACTAAGGGCATTAGAAGTGTTGCATTTATTGGCAGGAAGGAGGTGAACAGAAAGTTTTGAAGGTTTTTTTTTTTTAGCAAATGGCTTTAAAGAAATCTTGTACCTTTAGGAGTAGCATAGAAGGGTAATTTTGCCACTTATGGTTTCTGCTGTTGCCACAGCATTGTGATTTATCAAAACTTTGTGGACTGGAAGAAAGTTGGAGTGAAACAGCAAGGGCTATGTATGAGCTGGTTTCTTATATTTATTTGAATGAAGCAACCAGTTCTTTAGCTGCAAATATTAAATTAGAGTCGGTTGCAAGCATATATGATTTGGTCCAAGTCCTCATCTGAAAATATAGATGTAAACTGTAGAGGAAAACATAATCTATATTCATGGTTAGAGAAGGAAGCTATATCCCAAATGTCATTAAATGACTTAGTCTAAAATATCTGTACCTCTGCTTCAGTGGCATTCTTTGTCCCGTGAGGAGCAAGCCAAGTACTATGAACTAGCCCGGAAGGAGCGACAGCTTCATTCTCAGCTCTACCCTACCTGGTCTGCACGAGATAACTATGTAAGTCAGAAGTGTGGTATCTGTAGTTTGTGCCAAAAATTTAAAACAATCCAAACTTGCCTCTTGCATTGGGAATCCTATCTGTGCATTCACAATTTGTAGTTGTTGTTGAGTCATTGAGATGTGTCCGACACTTCATGACCCCATGGACCAGAGCACGCCAGGCCCTCCTGTCTTCTACTGCCTCCCCGAGTTGGGTCAAATTCATGCTGGTAGCTTCGGTGACACTATCCAACCATCTCGTCCTCTGTCGTCCCCTTCTCCTCTTGCCTTCGCACTTTCCCAACATCGGGGGCTTTTCCAGGGAGTCTTCTCTTCTCATGAAAGTATTGGCTAAAGTATTGAAGCCTCAGCTTCAGGATCTGTCCTTCCAGTGAGCACTCAGGATTGATTTCCTTCAGAATGGATAGGTTTGTTCTCCTTGTAGTTGAGGGGACTCTCAAGAGTCTTCCCCAGCACCACAATTCAAAAGTATCAATTCTTTGGCGGTCAGCCTTCTTTATGGCCCAGTTCTCCCTTCCATACTTCGCTGTTGGAAAAACCATAGCTTTGACTATGTGGACCTTTGTCGGCAAGGTGATGTCTCTGCTTTTTAGGATGCTGTCTAGGTTTGTTATCACTTTCCTCCCAAGAAGCAGGTGTCTTAATTTTGAGGCTGCAGTGATCATTGAGCCCAAGAAGGTAAAATCTGTCACTGCCTCCATATCTTCTATTTGCCAGGAGGTGATGGGACCAGTGGCCATGATCTTAGTTTTTTGGGTGTTGAGCTTCAGACCGTTTTTTTGCACTCTCCTCATTAAGAGGTTCTTTCATTCCTCCTCACTTTCTGCCATCAGAGTGGTATCATCTGCATATCGGAGGTTGTTGATATTTCTTCCAGCAATCTTAATTCCTCCACTCCTGTCTTTCGCATGATGTATTCTGCATATAAGTTAAATAAGCAGGGAGACAATATACAGCCTTGTCATACTCCTTTCCCAATTTTGAATCAATCAGTTGTTCTATATCCAGTTCTAACTGTTGCTTCCTATCCCACATATAGATTTCTCATAAGGTAGATAAGGCGGTCAGGCACTCCCGTTTCTTTTAAGAACTTGCCATAGTTTGTTGTGGTCCACACAGTCAAAGGCTTCACAATACATTGTACAAAGCAAGTAGCCATGTGTTTTGTAACTAAGTAACTAATTTTCCAGAGTGAGATTTTGTGAAAACCTAAACTGTTGACAGTGAGAGCAGAGGAAAAATCATGCTAATAATGATAATGAAGGTAGGATTAGGTGGCTAGTTTGACCAAGAATAGTAGCAGAGAGAGATGGAACTGAGCAGGTTACTGAACCGTGCCCACCAGTGGTGTTATCACACTTTTTGCAGACATAATTTGCACAGTAGGATTTTGACCACTGTGTCAGATAAGACACATCTATTGTAATGCATCAGCAGCTTTTCATTTGTTTTAACCTGGGATATAAAATGAATATTAAAAAAAGAACAGAATAATTCCCAAAAATTGGATTTTTGAAATCAGGTGATCTTGTGGAGGTTTTTTTTTCTTGTGAACAAGTGCTATTTTCAAAACGTATGTTGTGGGTTAGTTAGTGTTTTTTTTAGTTTTTTTTAGTTAACATTTTTGTTAGTGTTTTTAATTCTTATTTACATGTCCCAAGGAAAAGTAGTTTATGAATAGTTGCAGCCACACTTATCACAAAACTAAACTAAATAACCTAATTCTAGTTGCTAGTACCAACTAGAAGAGACCCATTGAATCAATGGAATTTACATAGGTTTTGACTTACCTTAGCAATTCAGTCTGTGCAGCTGCTCTAGAAATTGGATTTAGAGCAATAGTGTTAGTATACAAACTTCTAAAAAGGATTGTTATTCTCTATCTTGTTATTATAGCAAATTGTTCTTTAGCAGCCTTACATTGCTGGTTGTCTTCTTTCTGACAGTTGCTTTTTTGTGAATGTGTTATTTTCAGGGAAAGAAAAAGAAAAGAAAAAGAGAGAAACAGCCTCAGCAACAAATCCAGGAAACAGGGAGTGAGTATCATGCATTGTCCTCTCATGGGTATGACAGCAGTTAAATTTCTTCTCTGTGAAGGGAAGCAGCTAGACCAGAATTCTTAGTATTTTCTTCTCTCTGTCAATGCTGTCTCACATCCTGCTGAAATCAGAAGTGTAAATGACCCTTGCCATAGGGAGAATCCGAAGAAAAAGCATTTCCTGTCACATACCAAGATAGCAAAAATCCCAGCAAGGAAAATCAGAGAAGCAAACAGAGATATAGAGTAGGCAAAAGAGAAAGCCAGGCAGTAGCTTTTTACTTCCTGCATGCAGAATTTAATTATCCCCCCCTTTGTTATCAAACAAAACCAAAAGAATAAAAACATAATTCCAACAATTCCAAGGATTTCAGCATTAATTTTTTTTTGAAGACCAGAATATTTTAAAATGTAAATCACATTTTAGCTTTTATGAGAGTAGGAGCTGAGAGACAGCATTGAGGAACTCATAAAAAGTCAAAAGTTATTTAATATGGTGAAATCCAGCAGAATTTAACATGGCCTTATAGAGGATATTCCCTTAGGAGAGGCTAGGCTTTCAGAAAGCTAGGCTCTGAGTTGTCTTTCATAAAGGGAGTTTAGCCTCTTGTAAAGGCCAGTTCTTTTGTGATGCTAATTGAGAACACCTCTAAAATACAGAAGATTGGTGTCTCTGCCAAGAGAATCAGGGTCAACCCTACAATTAGATGGAGTGAGGCAAGCACCTCAGTCAGTGAATGGTGGGGGTCAGTAGCATCAACCCCCAGCCATTTCCCTCTCTTGAAAGAGCATTGCTCTCTGTGTGTTACATGTCCTCTTCCCCCCCACCCCACCCCCATCATCTGCCATTAGATGTGGTGGAAAAATCTGTATTTTTGGCTTACATTGAAGTAAGAGTCAACTGCTTTGCTTCTCTGTGTTGAATATAGACAGCTTCTATTGTGTACCCTTTACTCCAAACAACAAAAAAATTATTGGACAGCACTGGAGACAACCTATTCTTTGCTAATCGTCTTCATAGTTTTATTTCCTGGGTGAAGAAGTGGCATCCATCCACTGTCTAACATGGAACTGCTAAATGTGGTGGTATTTGGAATGGAATAGGACATTGTCATATCATTCAGTGGGATTACTATGAAGAAACAATGATCTAAGGGTACTGTGGGAGTTATCTTGAGCCTGTGATCCAGAGTGGAAAAAAAATAACAAACTGTTTTCCCTGTTTTTTCCCCCTTTTGTCACTAATAGATTCTGTGGCCTCAAAGAGTAAAAAGCCTTGTGTGCCATACTTGCCAGCTGAGAAATCCTGTGACAGCCCCGCATCCTCTCATGGCAGTATGTTGGATTCTCCAGCTACCCCCTCCACAGCCTTGGCATCGCCAGCAGCTCCTGCTGCCACCCACTCCGAACAGGCACAGCCCCTCTCTCTAACCACCAAGCCTGAAGCCAGGGCCCAGCTGTCTCTGCACTCAGCTTCCTTCCTGTCAAGCAAAGCTGCCTCCTCTTCCTCCAGCTTGACTAGCCAATCGTCTCTCCTCTCCAGGCCCCTCCCATTCACCTCCATGCCTCCCACAGCTCTCCTGACCTCGCCTCCTTCCTTTGCAGCCATTTCGTCTCCTCAGGCTGCCTTGGCTATGTTGCAGGTCCAGCCGCTCTCCTTGGTAACCAAGCCAACTGAATGAGGAAGATTCCACTCTGCCTTCCTGTTGAGCCACAATTGAGATTACAAAGCAGACAAGCCATTTATTGGTCAATATTTGACCCTTTCTGAACTATTCCGTAAGGTGACTCTTGAGGAAGAAAATGCTCTACTCTCAGAGTTGTTCTCAGTAGTCTGTCTAAAGACCATTTTTATTTTTTAAAAAAATAAAAACAAAAAATCCCAAAATTTTTGTAAACGAAACTTAAGCAGGATAAAAGCAAAAGGCAAGCCAACCCTTGTGTTCCAGTCAATGTCCATTGGGCGCGTATACTCGTACAGATGTACAATGGTGTTTGCATGTTTTGTTATATTGCTAACATTTTTGTTCCCCATTCCCTTGGCAAGACAGTGTTTTATTTTATGTTACTTATCCCAGCCAGCCTGCAGTTCCACTGTTTTTCTAAGAGATTTACAACATTTATCAGAAAACACAGTACCACAGAAATATAGTGCCTCACTGTCACATTCGAGCTGCCTAGCCTTGGGTAAGCCCAGATATTTTTCCTGTACTCCACAGTGATCATCCAGGAAAATAGCAGGACAATCTACCCTATTTCCTTACAGAGTTATTTTGTGTAGCAGGAAGTAGGGGAAAGGCCTTGGGGGGAATCACCTGTTATTTTAAGGAAGGAAAATAAATCTGCTTCTTTACTTCCTGTGTGAGAGTGTTCAATCAGGAAATGAAAAAGACTAATAAGACCTTCTATCTTGTACACTTTTTACACTTCCAGTGTTGCCTTCATGTATTGTGTGGGCCATTGACCTTTACCACTTATTTGTTCTTCAGTGATTTTTGTTCTCACCTTCTGTGTTAGTCACATTACAGAGAGTGAGGATTTGTTGCTTCCTTTTAGAATGGCAAGAGACAGACACGTTTTCTAAGAACCACATTCCAACTTGTATAGATGCTTTGGGCATCACTGATCATGTTTATTTTTCAATGTTGTGAATACCAGAAGAAGCAAAGGAGGCTGAAAATAGGTGCAGTAGTCAAGCATGCTTTCAAGGGTTTAGGTTGATCCCCTCAAGGTTTTGTCAATAGGCATTGTAGATTTTTGAAATAATCAGGAAGCAGTGGTGGACAATTTAAGAAACTATAACCAGATCTGAATTTGGAGCTGGTAGGTTTGCATGAAATTGTTTTATTTGTAGAGTTAATGAGGCCAAGCACCCAGTAGACTACGCAAACAATGATGCTCCAGTAACACCATCTGTCTGCCACAGCAGCCTTAGACCATCTAATTGTAAGCTACCATAGGTAGGCTATAACTAAACATTAAATAAATCATATTATAATAAAACCTGGGGAAGCCTTTTGGAGGCTTTGGAATGTGTCCCATCAGTGATAATAGGCTTACCATTCCTCTGGTCCCAAGGCCCTCAAAATCTTCCCCAGGTCAAAAGGTATCCCTCAGGGAACCTTAGAACCTTAAAAGGAGGGATAGGAAATTTAATTGGCAATAAAAGCCTGTAGTTGGTACGATAAGCAGCTTGCATGGGGATAAATGAGATTGTACATGGGCTATACATAGCACTACATGCATCAGATATGCCTATCTAAATGTATCATGTTGTCTATCTGCATTACAAACAAGGATTCTGGGCATTAAGTATTGTCTACACATATGACAGTAATGTTCATGAAACTGTTGTTTGACTTTTTAAACATATAACTTTTTTTTCATACTAGACCATCCGAAATACTTCCATGATCCTGATCCTGAATTAATAATATCTTAAATTACAGTTGGCTATTTTAAATATAGGTCTAACTTCATTATCTGAATGTCTTTAAAAAGGTGGACCTAAATGAATGGAAATAATTGCCAAGCATTTAATTGTTCATTTAATCATTCAAGGCAATTGCAAATGGATCAGCTATTAGTCCTTCCTGGAGGGGGCAATCATATAAAGTGGTGCCAGGGACCCCTGTTCAAGACCTTGGCCATTGACCTATCTTCAGGATGCTGTTCCTGTTCTAAACCAGTTGTGCGTTACTGGTAATGGAATGGATGAGGGTAAACAGATTGAAATGTAGTCCAGACAAGACAGAGATGCTTGTGGTAATTGAAAGGCCAGTGCGGGAAAGGATTCAGCCTGCTCTGGGCGATAACTCAAAATCACAACTTGGGTATACTCCTGGACTCATTTCTGAACCTTGATGCTGAGGTTTCTGTGGTGGGCAGGAATGCATTTGCATAGTTAAAACTGACAAGCCAGTTGTGCCCGTTCTTGAGATGTCTGATTTGGCTATGGTGACACATGCCTTGGTTACATCCTATTTGAGTTAGTGTAAAATGCTCTACATGGGGCTGCCTTTGAACGTGTTTTGGACACTGCAGCTGTTCAAAGTTTTGCATCCAGGCTGCTGACTGGGGCTGGTTGTTGTTATGTGCCATCAAGTTGCCTCTGACTTATGGCAACCTTATGAATAAGCAATCTCCTAACTGCCTGCTTAATGCCATGTCCTGCTTAGCTCTTGTAAACTCAACACTGTGGCCCTTCTCTGCATTCCATTGCTCTCCCAGGCATGTTTGGTGGGACACAAGAGAGGGCCACATTTGTGGCTAGTCCCACATTGTAGAATGCCCAGGTTCAGCTCCTCCCTCTTGTCTTTTTGGTGTCAGGTAAAGATATTTTAAACATGTTTTCAACAATCACATTGGGCATCAAAGCTAGATTTTCTCCACCTTGGTAGTTAAGATCTTTTAAGTGTGCTTTTAAATGTTTTTTTTTTTGTATCTTCAATTTTTATATTTTCCTGTGTTTAATTGGTTTTTAATTATATATTTATTGTCCTTTTTAGCTTTACTTGGATTTTAATTATTGTGAGCTGCCTTGAGTCCCTTTATGGGAGAAAGGCAGCATAGAATTAATTAAAAAAAACAAGCTCTACATTATATAGACTTCAATGAAGTAGCCCAGTAGCTGATTCTATCATGCATCCTGATCTCCATCCCTGTGTTCTAGATTGTTATTGCCAGGAGATTTTTTTGTAATTAAATACTTCTCTTTTTTAGTCCCATAGCTTGTGTGTGATAAAATCAATAACCTGCAAGTCAGACAAACTGCAGGAGAGAAGGGGGAAGTCTTTAATTACTGAAAGGTTCCACCCATTTGTGATGTTCCCATTCTTCCACAGGCATAACATATAAGTAAGAAGATTCTGCCTACTGTACACTTTTCCCCATTAACCTCTATGCAGTATTGTGGAATCTCAAGAAGTAGAAACAGCAGCTAAGAAGTAGAAACAGCAGTTGTTTTTCATAATACCTAGCCCTGTAGGTATTATGAAAACCCGTGAGCTGAAGATACTGTAGGACAGAGGTTTAATTGGTACCACATAGCCTTCCTTCAATCTAGTTAATTTTCTGCAAAAGATGCAGCCACAGTGAAGTGAGAATCAACTAACAGTTTTCTCTGCCCTCTTTGCATGTGGAAAGTGAGGGACAAGGTTGCTGCCCAGATCTTGCGCTTGCCTCAGAATGCAAAATATTGTGAGCCACTCTGCCAAGTAACACTGCAGATTAAGTGAAAGCACATGTCAGTTTGAGACAGCAGGAAAGAGGCAAGAGACAGCCTATTGTGGAGGAGAATCAGTGGATATCTTATCTGGAAGTGAGTGGGTCAGGCACAAAACTAGAGAGAATAGGAGACATGAATGATGTACTGAAGCTGTTCATTATTTGTACACACCCTTCAGTAAGGTCAGAGTGCTTTAACGTGAGGTTCCCAGTGGTTTTCCACACAGTCATTCATCTGGTCCACACCTGCTGTAACAGGAAAGCTGAGAACACGGCTAGAACACTTGGGAAATGAATCTGAGAATACTCCAGTTCAGCCTGCACTGTGTTTCTTAAGAGCAGGATGTAATTTGAACAATTGCAAAACAGAATTCTTTCAAATGCTGTGACTTTTCTTATGTTAAAAAAAACACAAAACACCCATTTCTGATCAGGAAAACAATTGCAAACCAATATGGGGACTGCACTGTTTATTTCAATGTATGCTGGCGAGCAGTAACTAACACATGAACCTAGGGCCTTGCACCAAAGAGTCTGATAGCTGGATCCACCCACATGTTTTGTTTGCCAGAAGAGCAAACAGCTAGTCAGCGCCACTGTTCTTGGACACCAGCAGTGCAGCTGATCAGAAAGAGTTGTGGGTACTGAGAGCCTATGTTCAATAACTAGAGGAGCCTGGTGGCAACTAGTTCTATAAACCCTCAGATTTGTTTGGCTCTTTTAGTTTGATAGTAAAGACTAGGCTGTTTTTAAGAATTTTCAAAACAGTGGATCCCCTTACTGGCTCATTAATTATTTTATTCCTCTCCCCCATCAGTCTCTCACCATATTGGACGCAGGTGATCACATCATGCACATGCAACAAAATGTGTATGTTGTTATATGGAATACTATGTGCATTTTCCTTTTTTTCTACTTAGAAGTGCTTTCCATATAGAAAGCTGCCATTTTCTTGAAGTGGTACTAAGGTGGGAATCTATGGTTGTGACATCAAGCAGAAAGGTATGCTTGTTTCCAAAGCATTTTATAAAATCACTAGTCATGATCATAGCTGGCTAGATAGCTCAGTACATTAGGCATCTGGCTGTAGAGACAGATGTTGGAAGTTCAATTCTCCATTGTACATCCCAGAAGAAGCAACCTGTGTGATTTTGACTAGTCCCAAGATGCCCACAGAAGAAAGAAATAGTAAACCTAATCTCTATCTAGAAAACCCCGAAAAGGGTTGCTATTAAGTCAGAATTGATTTGACAACACAATCAATCAAATCAGTCATGGCCAATGATATGTAAAGTTTTTACCCCTGTATAAGTCAGAATTGATTTGACAACACACAATCAATCAAATCAGTCATGGCCAAGGATATGTAAAGTTTTTACCCCTGTGATTTTAATCATATTGTTCTCATGCCTGTGTAGAGAGAGATCTGCAGTTCATTAACTAAACATGTGTTTAATCTGCTGCTTTGGAAACACTCTAAACTGATAGTTCCATTGGTGTTTTTCTTGTACAGTTATTCTTCCAAACTTGGTGGATTCCACCAAAATATCATGTATGCAGTGTCATAGCTTTGAGGCTATACAGTTCACTCCCTGTCAAATGCCTTTTTACTCTTGTGGAGCAAGAATCTGATGAGGTACTTAAACCAAGATTTAAATGGCTGGAAAAGATTGGTAGTTGACAGTTACATTACTGAACTGAACTGTCAGTTCAATAATGGGATGAGGGGTGGGACCAGAGAAGAACACACTTGCATTTCAGTGCTTGTCATATATTGTTTCAGATGTGTACAGATGGAAGAATCTGAGACAAAGCATCATAGCTATACACATCAATAATTTGATCTCTAGTGAAATAAAAAATGAGATTGATTCAGAAGCAAGGGACAAATGAACAGAATAATGAACAGAAGCTTCCAGTGCCTTGGATGCATCTAAGAAGGGAACAAAATTTTGGTAGGAAAAGTATCTAGCAGGCACCACTGAAAGGTTCCCCACTTCAACCAGGGTCCATTGTGTTTAATTTTAATCATGTTACCAACCGGTCATCAAAGGTTTTTTTTTCTCTGAGAAGCAAAACAGTGATTTTTATTACAGTATTACTATTTTAGAAAAAGTCCAGTTTAAA